TGCTCAAATTTTATTTCTGCATGAAGACTCTCAGCTATTGACGGTTATTTATAGTACATTTGAAAAATTAATCAACTATTAAGAATTTTTTATAAACTTCATAATTTTTATGACTTTGCTAAAATTTTGTTTATAACGTTAGTTTTAAGGGTAATTCTACATTTCAATAAATTTTACAAGGTTGGATAATATTGCCTGTAAACCTAAGTAGGTGACTTTATAATTTTCTGCAATTCTTTTGCCATAAATATTTAATGAAAGTATATTAAGTAAAATACAGTCAGCTTTCTTTCATCAGTGTGATATTTTTCAGGTTTTCAATTAAATATACGTTTTAAAGAGTTTATTATAGACTGATGCTAATTTCTCTTAATTCAAGCTAGCTTATCTAACTTTCATAATACTTGTTAACAAAAATAATATCTCTGTATGTTACATCAAAAGTGCTGAATGTTACATCAGAGCACTGATTTTTTTTACCAAAAAAAAGAGTGAGCAGTACTCTTTTTCTCCTGAATCTGAGCTGTGCTTTTTATTGGCTGAACTCTTCCCACCTGAAAAAGAAAGACGGAATTCCATGTGTGATTACTTCTGTAAAACCTTCAGGAAAGCCAAATGGCATTACATATGGTTTTACGTATGGCATTACATAAGGGGTTTTAGCTTGGTAATGCCATTTGTAATTCCATTTGAAAAAACACATAGAATTAAAAATTGGAAAAAGGAAAAAAATTTTGTCATCTATAAATAACTGCAGAATACTGTAATGCGTCATTTACTGTGAAAAAGTAGTGTTACCATCTGGAGGATAACTCAGAAACAAGGGAATTCAAGTTATATTTCAGGAATAAAAGAAAAAAAGAAAAAAATAAATTTTTTTCTATGGAAGTAAAATAAGCTAAACCCCCTTGTTTTGGAGTTATCATCCCGATAGTTAGACATATTGCTAACTGCAAATAACTTATTATGGTATTTTGCAGTTATTTCTAGATGATAGAAATTTTTTCTTTTTCCAATTAGTAATTCCATATGTTTTTCCATATGGAATTACATGTGGCATCACCAAGCTAAGACCCTTTATGTAATGCCGTATATAAAAACATGTGTAATGCCATATGGCTTTCCTGAAAGTTTTACAGAAGTAGTTCTACACAGAATTCCGACATTTTTTTTTAGGTGGGTTGAGGTATGCTTATTTTTACGAAAGCTCCTGAGCTGCGCTTTTTCGCACGGATATGTTGCTAATCAGAGATCAAATCAATTTTAAATTTGACTATAACAAACTTGAAATGTTTAACAATATTATTTAAGTTTTTTGACAAAAACTCCAAATTTTTTCCAGCAAGAAATCTAAAACAGTGACGAACAGAACCTACTTTCTCGTAAGACACCATGTATAACAAAGAAAGAAACTGACTTTTAATTGAAATATCTGTGATACAAGACACAGGAATCGTCTTATTTTTTAACAGGACGTGTATTGTTACTCAAATTATAACATATTTAATTTTATTAAAATCTGTCAATTTTTTTTTTATGAATTGTCTACCTTAACAAAAGAAAAGAATGGTCTTGTTTGGGGCAAAAAATGCAATTACTCCAAGGCTATATTAGTAAATAAACATATTTTGTGCATACTAAGCATTTTATAAAATTTTCACTATACAACTATTTATCATTTGATGTATATATATATAGGTTTATATTTAATCGATTACAACTGATCATCATAATATATTTTTACTTAAAAGCTGTGCATAAGATCAGATGTCACTGAAAGACAAAACATACCCATAGGTATCAAACTCATGTATTTTACAAGGAACCAGTGCTGGATAAAGGTAAGGTAAAAATATCTTTTTCGGTACTAGAGAGTCTGTGTTTAAAAGTGTCACACAAATCATACAAATAAATTATTACAATAGAGAGCTGTAAATTGTTGTCTTAAAGTGGCTCAAGCGTTAAAAGCCGTATCTTGTGGAAACAGAAGCCATGCGCAACGAACGATTTATTTTAACTTGCAAGAACGCACACCATTGCTTATTATTCATTACTAAAATTATTGTAAATATCCCACAGGAGATAAAGTTACTGATAGTTATCATTAAAATTTTAGATATATTTTCGTTTAAGTAGAAAATAGTCATAACTTTAAAATGCAACGAGCGCACTACTTGAGTTAAGAAATATCTGTGATAAATTATCAAAATCCGTAATTTTTCTTTATTGTGATTCTTCCACTGCCTCTTAAGTATTACTGTACAAAATTTTAGGTTAAAATACTGAATAGAAAAATTCTAGAAATATTTTCGTGTAACGGTCTAGCGATGCAACGATTTTTTATGACAACATTTTATAATTTGTAACTTTGAAAATTGATAGTTGATATTAGGGCCCCACAGTTCTAATTGATTCTTTGTCTCATAAACTTCAATTTTATATCTAGTTCTTAAGGATTCTATTATTTATTTTAAAGTAGTCAGTGGATAAAAATAGGAAAAAACTGTCGTTACTCTATTTCGTATGTGTTACAAGCAAGGAGAAATTTCGTACTAAAAATTTTGTCATCTACATATGCTAATTACTTTAAAATCAATAATATAATCCTAAGGGATTGGATATCAAATGGAAGCTAATTAAACATAGAATCAATTGATACTTTTGGGCCCCAAGTTCAACTATTGATTTTCAAATTTACAGTTAGAAAAAAAAACCATAATTTTTACCGTGATTGTACCAAAAAATACTGTGCAGACGGTAATCGTGGGACAAAGCGACATCTCGGAACTTTTTACCCTAAGTAAGTCAATTTTTGCCTTGACACAAAGTGGAAATCCTTGGGTCCCTAACAAAATTTTTACCCACCGCTCTTGTATATAGATGTATGTAGATGGATTATTGCAATGTAGCATCATTTATTCAACTCATCCGTGCTTGGAGATAGCATCATGAAATAATTTTAAAAAAATTACACACGCTCCTCATAGTATTTATGTAACATTATTATTCATCAGATAATCTAAAACATTATATAGGCCCACAAAAAAAGAAAAGTTTCTGAATTGTGAATGTAAAACATTTTTTTTTACGTATTTTTCGGTGCTGAATCGGAATCTGAAGTCAAAATCGGGGTCTCGAAGGGAAATTTCGAGTAAATCGCTGATAAAGTCAGAAAATTCAGAAAATCAGTCTAAAACACCTTATTCATCATGTTCAAATGCTTATTATGCGAGGAACATTATTACAGTATTTTTCAGTGTACAAAAGAAACAGACTTCAAGCATTGCGACCAAACAAGTTGAAAAAATTAAGAGTTCCGATTACTCCAAAGCCCCAGTTGGCTGTAAGCTTATGCCTCAATATATTTTATTCAATTTTTCGATCGTTTGCGTATCTTTTTATCCTCGAAAGATCTATGCAGAGGATATTTCTTACGTTTTCTACTTCTCTTCCCATTCGTTTCCCTTTTTAATGTCTAGAAAAAATAAGCCATCATATTAACATCCCACCGTCCTTGATAACGTCTCTCCATCTCTTTAATATCCTGATAAAATCGTTCACCTTGCTCTTCGCTAAAATCTCCAAGATTTTCTGGGAAAGAGTCCAGGTGAGAGTCGAGGAAATGTAGTTTGAGATTCATTAGACATCCTAATTCTCGGAAGCTCTCTATCATATTCTTTACAAGTTTTTGATATTGTTTACTCTTAGTGTTGTCAAGGAAATTTTCCACGACATCTTTGAAACCAAGCCATGCTGCTTTTTCAGTAGTGGTCATAATAGTCGCAAAAGTTTCATCTCTCAATAATGTACGGGTCTGTTGAACTTTAGCATCTACAAACTTAGGGAAAGCACGCTTGATACATCCGAAGCATAACAAAGAAAACAAGCGACGTTTTGTGTCAGACATTATTTACCTGATAGTACCTTAGTGTAACAGAGGCCGAAGTTTGCCCGTATTACAGCCACGTTACGATTTTTACTATGCAGCAGTAGGTATAGACTACTATGGAGAGATTGTATATATATATATGTGTGTGTGTGTGTGCGTGCGTGTGTGTACGTGCGTGTGTGCGTGTGCGTGTGTGTGTGTATTTATAAAAGGTGACTTACGCTGACTCTACTTGCTTTAAAGACATCTGTTAATAACACGGTAGAATTCTGCGAATGCGAGAGCGAGAGAGTGAAAGAAAGACAACAGATCATCTGCGTTGCAGTCAGCGCTGGATGGTAAATATAATAATGTCCATAGATTTGTACATGGCAGCGTTCACTAGCTCGTTTCACGGGTTAGCTCCATAGAGATATTACTAATAGAATGGGGGAGTGAGTACCTTACGCATAAGTATAAATGTCTTGTTGAAAGGTGATGGAGAATGAAAAGACCTTCTTATCATCCCCCCTCCAAGTATGAAAACGTTATAATCATATTTATATATATATAGAAAATCATTTCATTTGTCCTCTCTTTCTACTGACAAGACGCGTTTTCAGTCAACTATCCTACTCTATTAGTAATATCTCTATGGTTAACTCACCATAAAAAGCAAGCCTTAAGAAGTTTTACTTAGAAAAATTACGGCTTTCGATAGTTTGTAACAGACTTTTTTTAATTCTAGTAGTGCGCTTGTTGCATTTTGATGTTATCATTATTTTCGGCTTAAACGAAAATGCATCTGAAATTTTAATGATAACTGTAAGAAACTTTATTACCTGTGGGACATTTATAATAATTTTGGTAATAAATAATAAGCAATGGTGTACGTTCTAGTAAGTTAAAATCAACCTTTCGCTGCGCACGGCTTATGTCCCCACTAGTTACGGCTTTTAAACCTGGAGCTAGTTCAAACAGTTTTTTGTCAAACAAAACTTCATCGGGTAATTTTCATTGCACATCAGATTATAACGCAGATTACTTGTCATCTGAAATTTATCAGAAGGGCTAAATTATCTTTGTGCCATTTTTAAGTAAGTTAAAATTTTTTTTTAATGTACGTATACAGGTTGCAATGCAAATTCTTAACAACGGAAGATTTGGTATGGCAGCATGTCTATCGGGCACTATGCAAACTTGCATAAAAAAAGCAGTTGATCATGCTACGCAAAGAGTACAGTTTGGTAAAACTATACATAACTATGGAGCAATACAAGAAAAAATAGCACGTATGTCGATGTTGCAGTACATAACTCAATCCTTAGCTTATATGATATCTAGTAACATGGATATGGGAAGCCAAGAATATCACCTAGAAGCAGCTATTTCCAAAGTAAGTTGAATTAGTATAGAAAGTAAGCTTTATTTTAGGTTTAGTCATGATATAATCCACCTGATTTTTATATAAGGGCAATCCTTTTTGTTTGTTTATTTTAAAACAAATTTCTGTTCATTTTTATTAGGATTGCATTTATATCGTATATTAATGTATGTATCTTAACAAAGCAAAATTACTTATTTGTAAGCTGCAGATGAACCAAATTAACATTGAGTCGAATATCAATCTTAATAATTATAATAAGAGTAAAGTACACCAACTTAATAGATAATCAGCACTGTCTTTCAACCTTGTTTTCTTAACTTTTAATATTATTGAGATTTTCATATATATATATGGGACGATCCACGTCAACCGTAACACTCGGATGGCCAAAATTTGGAGTGACTAAAAGAATTCTGTCAGGGCTCAAATTATTCGTATAACCGTAGACTTTGAAAATCAATTACGCCTCTTTGAAAATTCANTATGCAGGTACATGCTATTGTCATTGGCATAGTAAAAAACCTCGTGAGATTTAATTGTGACATCTATCACTTACACAACCAGTGTTGTAGATTGCACCTCAACACTACTCAACACTACTTTTTCGCTTGATAACAGTCGTTAGCATGAACTTGTATTTTATTAAAATGGAGGTGAAGGGATCTTTCTCTTTTTCTCCTATGGTTTTGGCTACTTACGATGTATATAACCGTAGCTTAAAATTTGCAGCTTACAGGGTACTCTCATAAACATTATTATAATGTAAATATTTTTATATCATCAAGCTGCGATTGATATTAGGCTTGAGAGATATGTAAAGATCTACCTAAGATTAAAGGTAAGTAAACATTGTCAACAAAAAATTTATTATGTATAAACTCATAATTAAAATCTGTACCTCAAAATTCCTTAACTTTAAGTTTTGCAAAAAAGAATTAGACTTGAGAGTTATATAGAGATCTACCTAAGACTAAAGGTAAGTAAACATTGTCAACAAAAACTTTATTACGTATAAACTTATAATTAAAATCTGTACCTCAAAATTCCTTAACTTTAAGGTTTAGAAAAAAAGGATTTTCCATTAACAGCTTTGTCTTGGAACCCAATTATCAAAACGTTTTGAAGTCATCGATGGAAGTATTACTGTATTCAACATATCAGTCTTAGTCTTATAATATTATTTAGTTTCATTTTAGAGTTAACATCACTGATAAAATATAATTACTATTATAGTGAGATGTTGTGATATTACAATAGTAAAGTTTATAATGTAAACGATAATAATTTAATGTTATTTTTGTACTGCACGATTATAGTTTGAAAACATAGTTGTTTTAGCATAAAAAGCTTTAACGAACTTTATGTATTGTAATTTTTGTATTTATAATTTTATTGTTATTTATTTTTAACTTTTTCCGCTATACAGTAACGTAATTGTTGCAAAATTACATCACCACGTCAAATTTTGTTTTAGCCTCAATTTCTGATTCCTGTATAGAAATGTATCAAAGATACGTCAAATTATCTCGAAAAATTTAATCTATTGTCTGAAGTAGAAAAACACGTTAACCTTTTACTCAAATCTAATATTTCATATATTTTAATTAATGATATTAAACATCTTTTTACTTACAGTTTTGTGAATATTTCTGCAATGTCTTAAAAATGAATCTTTTCTTGAAAACTTTTTGCCACATTCTGAACATACTATATTATGATCATACTGATGAATCATTTTATGTCGTCGTAAATGTGTTTGTTTCTTAAATTTTTTTCCACAGATAATACACGGTATAATTTTACCATTTTCATGTTCCAATGCATGACGCAAATAATGATTTTTTGATTTCATGATGATGTTACATATTGTACATTCAAAAAATGATTTCTTATGCTTCTTTTTATGATCCATTAATTATTTCTTATTACCAAAAACATAGTAGCAATGTTCACATTTAATTAAGTTGATTATTCTGAAAAAAAATAACTGTATATTTTCTATACATATATTATATTGTACAAAATTAAAACTTCTTTACTTTAAAACTATTATATTCTAAATTGAGATCGATAAGTATTGACCTTTTCATCTAATAATTTATACATACTTACTTATCCATTTTAATATTTAAATTTATCTTGACGATGAGATAAATCGTGACAATAAGACAGTTTTATCTTAAAGTAATTTAACATTGAAGTAGATTAAAAACAATAGACTAATCCATATACGACACGTACTCGTCTGTCTACACATCAAAGTCCAAGAAATACGATAAATACGATGTGATCCACGGTCTCCAAAAGAAGTGTGGCAGACGGTGGGGGGTCACGAAAAAATGCGTGGGGGGCTGTCGGGGGTTTCGGAAAAAACTGCGATATGTCAAAATAAGGGAAAAAATGACAGGTTTTTACCTTATTTTGTGGGGGGTGGTAGGGGGTAAATGGGAGCGGTTGGAGCTGTGGAGGGGTTGTGTGGAATGCCACACCGAGATAACTATATATTATAGGAAGTTATACACATATATATATATATATATATATATATGGCATTACTCGACTGTTCACATCATTTTTATAAAAATTTATTACCTTTTGCACTGTGGATGATGGCAATGTTTTACCAAGTTCAGGCATAAAAGATGCCAAAATTCCTTCAGTTTTTTTAAGTCTCTAGCATTTTTGGCCAAACATGTGGATGTGCCAAATTTATTGGCAATATCTCGAAAAGACCAACAATCTGGAGCTATGGTGAGAATAGTCACACGAAGAGGATCAGTAACAGCTAAGCTATGAAATTTTTCTTTTAACCCATCCAGTAAATTTTCAAGTTGGCATTCTCTAGAGAGATGAATTTTTTTTTTGGTGAAATAACATCTGAACCTTCATCAGACGTGACATTTTCTTCAGTAATGCTCTCATTTATGCACTTATTTATGATGTCATCATTGCTACCTTGAATATCATTCCTAAATGATGGACCCTCACTGTCAAACATTTTTCGACAGTTTTTACATATTTTTGATTGCGTATGTGGGTTAGGAAATCTTTCTAGCATACATTTCAACATATTTCGTAAGTCTTGACCTCTATGACCATCACGATCACATGGATTGACGCATCTATCTAAACGCAGTTTTTTGTTCAAACTTTCAGACTGCATTTTTATTATCTGAATATTACCAAGCATTATTACCAAAGTAAAATATAATAGATTTATCATAAATTATGTACTAGTCAGTAATAAGACTGCACTAATATTTGCTACCTAAGATCCCAGCAAATGTTAGTTAGTACTTGGCGGATGCTCAATCGATTTCACGCTGATATCCTAAAGCAGTAAATGATGTCTCTCTATATCGGTCCAAAACATAAAAAATGGCAAATCTAGAAAACTTCCTCAAATTCACCAAATTTTATTTGAAAAACAAAAATTTGATTCAATAATTAGCAATTGATATTCCGTGCTTGAGTTTTGTTTCACATAAGATTTTATTCTTTTTTTAAAGTTGTTTAGTTTTTGATGAGTTGGCCGCCATGTTGGATCCACCATTTAAAATTTTTCAACATCTGATTTCGGATTTGTAGCCAGTGCTTACACCTACCTAATTAATCTACAAACTTTTGTATGCGGTGATTTCTTTTAATATGAAACCGAATTATGCAAATTTATCAAACTGTGAAACTTTTTTAAATACATGAATTTTGTTTCAAAATAGACAATTATAATTAAGAATCAGGAAAAAAATTTCTTACTTGGAATGCCATAGAGCATCATATAGTATTTTTTGAAGTATAAAATTCATCAATCTTTGAAAAGTTTTTCGCCATATTGCATCCACCATCTTGAACTTTTTTAAACAGCCCTAATTAATTGTAAAAGTCTACGGTTTTTTTTGGTGGAAAAAATTTGGAGCACTTCAAATCTAGTAAGAATCTGTTCATTTCAAAAAATTGTGGCCGCCATTTTGAACTTGCCATCTTGAGTTTGGCAAATTTTATTCGAAATTCTTGAACAGCAACCCAAACGATCCCCGTTTACTAAATTTGTTACAAATCGATCGATTTAAAAAATTTGACCACCATATTAGACGTTTGACAGCCATATTGGATCCGCCCTGTTACAATTTGTAAGCCTACATCATGACATAATTACAAGCATANAAAAAATTTTGACAATGATTTGTGATAGATGATTTTAAATAATACGTTTCACAAGCTGTCTTAAATCTAGAGTTCTAAATGGTTGTTATAATGGTTGTTATTTTTTTTTTGTAACTCATTATTTAGAATAGTTATAATCAAATAATCAGGTAAAATTATTTCTGCTTGGGGTCATCAATAATCTACGTAGTCAATGTAGGGAGAAAGAGGTGTGATAAACTACTTTACTAAGTTGCATAAGGGGAGAGGCGGTGTTATTAAAAGTTAGGTAACCTAATTTTAATTCATAAAAAGTTGTAAAACGCTAAAAAAACTAAATGCTCAATTATATTGTATTTAACAGAGTGCATGATCGAAAGCTGCTCAGTCGTGATACACTTGTCACTATGTAGTACATTTACTATTTATCTTGTTGACAAAGTTTACTATTTATCTTATCTTTCTCCCCTCCCCCGCCCCCCATGTAGTCTGCGTAATTTGTTACTTAACCCTCTCTCCCAGGAATTATTACGTAGGAGTTGTAACTGAAAAAGAAACAGCAGATCATCGTTATATACAATGCTATTTAATTTAAATAAATCAAATTTGGGGTGCTGTTTACGATTTAATTTGTGTATTTCAACACACACACACACAAAGTAAATCTGCCGTAAGTGGCTCAAAATGCCTTGAAGAATCGTTAAAAAAAGTTGGTCGAAAAAAATCTTTTTCACAATAGTTTTATCTCAAATACCACCCACAACAAATAATTTAAGCTATTCTATTACAAAGTTTTTGAACCAAAAGATATACGGTATTTTTTATAAGGCAATTTTAGTCAATTTTTGGAAAAATACCTCTGTTTC